GGGGAGGGGGAGGGGTGGGGGTGGGGAGAAGCTGCTATGATCCAAAGTCAAACGCACAGGCAGGCGGAGGGGTGGCTGATCCTCACTGGAGGAGATAACACGCTTTGGAGACAGAAACACCTCCCTTCAGTCTTTCAGGGCTGCTCCCTTCGCACCGCACTCGCGGTGCCTGCGCCCTTTAAGTTTACTGCCCGGCCTGAGCGCACGGGGTTGCTGGTAGAGCTCCAAGAAGTGTTTGCGGAAATACCAGCGGGCATAAAAGTTAGAAGCGCCTGGCTTTGCGCCCTCCGGGTCTGCGGTGGTGCACGTTCCTTTGTGCTAAGGGCTTGCTGTCTCCCGTCGGAAGCCCATGGTGGTCAGTGCGTTTGAGCTTTGGCAACCTGCACTGATTTCTGCATCCACCGGAGAAGCTGAGCTGAGATTGCTCGCGAAGCTACCACCACCCACAAGTAGCAGCTTGCCTTCCCGGAACCAGGGATTGAACTCAGGCCCTTGCACTTGCCAGGGAAGCACTTATTCCACTGAGCCATCTCCCCGGCGCGGCCTTGCTTGTCTTATGCGCCAAAAGGTTTGTAGGGCATCCTGAAAACTCCCGGCCAGTCCTCTTCTCCATCCGACCCGACACCATGCCTCTCACTAGACAGCCTTTGCGGGCCTCCTCAGGCCTAGGTCACTGTAAAACTAGAGCCACTAGCAAGGTCTCCGAGAATGTGTCGGTGAAGCAGCTTTGACCTAGTGCCCGGCTCATCGCACACCCTCCTTCCCGACTTTAAAGCTGGTATCGTGAGCCAGCGTGGAGAGGAGCGGGAGCAGCCAGGGCTTCCAGCAGGGGCTTCCGGGCTCCTAGCAGTTAGGAAGCCACGGAGGCCACCAGCGCTACCGCCAACCGCGGCGGAGCCGGATGGCACCCGTACAGGGGCAGGGGTGGGCTGCAAACTCCGCGGAAAACAGGCCGGACAACGTCCCAAGACGTAACTCGACTCGGACCTAAGCCTGGCCGGGGTAGGCGCAGAGGGTGCAGGCGGATGAGTGGGGGCCAGCCTGGACATGCCGCGCCCCGGGGGGCCCCCTCACCTCTGCGGCGCGGCTCAGCCCAGCTCCTAGGTCGGGGCGCCCTGCAGCCGAAGTCGCCTCTCTAGCGTACACTCCGAGAATGGGAGCGGCGACCGCGTCCAGCTGCTGACTGGCTGTGGCCAGTCACGTGACGGCCCAAAGTTTGGGTCCTTGTGGCCAGAGACCGACCAGGAGGAGCCCTTCGTCCTGAGCGGAGAGGGCGGATGCAGCTCAGGCTCGGCTGGATGAAGCCTGGGCTCCCTCTGCCTTCTTTTCAGATAACCTTCCTTTCCTGCAGTTTAAGCAGAGGTGGCCGCCCGCCCCGCGGGAGGTTGTCAGGTGCGGGCTGGTGGCCCAGCTGGCCTCGCTGCGTGCAGGCGGCAGGCTCACCTGTGCCGGCCGGTGGACTGCTACAGGGGAACCGAGGACACAGACGCTGCGTGGGAGGCCGGCGCAACTTTGCAAAAGAACTGAGTTGTTCATACATTTCTAAAAATTCTCTTAAACTGGCAATATTATATACGACGCCATATGAAATATAAAAGGATCCAAAGAAGTGGGACGCCAGAAGGCTTTCCATGCCTTACAAGGAGGGAGGCCTGCAGCCAGGCCCTCGGGAGCTTCCTTCCCGTGTAACTGGAGACAGCTGTCCTCCCGGTGCCTTGGCCTTTGCAGCCCTGCACCTTGCTTCCACTCCACGTGGAAATTGTTCTGTAGAGTTGCCCTGTTCTTTGGTGGTGGTGACGCGCTGTCCCATCGTGGGGATGTCTCACGCTCTGCTCGGCCAGTAAAGAACCATGTCTCAGTCACCTCCCCATAACTGTGCATAAAGGGGGGCGCAGTAAACATTCACTGCCTGCTCACGAATTACGTTGTGTACAACTTGCTCCTGTGTTTTGCCAGGCGTTCTAGAGAGGCCAACACATTTTTTCAGTAATCTAGCTATTTCTATAATGTACACAACAGACCAGCTCCATCGTCCTTGCCCATCACCCTTGCCAACAGATCCCGAAGGCCCGTCTTCTCTGACTCGTCTCAGGTAACGTCATTTCCGCTCCTTCTACTTACTGACCCCCGTGTCATTTATTATTTACATGTGTGCCATGTGCATTTATTATTTGCTTACAAGAAGGCAGACACGCCTTCCATTTTCTTTTATCCTTATTTCAATGTCTTTTTTTTTTTTTTTTTTTTCCTCTTTTAGTTTTTGGCACCAGGAATGGAACTCAGCCTCACCCTTGCTGGGCAGGTGGCTGCTGAGCATCATGCTGGGCCCTATTTCAGTGTCTTTGCATATGCGGATCCTCACCCTCAGCGTGTTCTTCCTCTTTCTGTCCCCTCTTCTGCTTCCTGTTTTTCCAGTTTTGCTTTTTTTTGGGGGGGGGGCAGGGCCTCTGTGTAGTTTAGGCTGTCCTTGAACTCAACTGTATAGTTCCGGTGGGCCTTGAACTTTGTGATCTTCCGTCCTCAGCCTCTAAAATGCATTGCAGGCGTGGTTCTTTTCTTTCTGAACTTTTTTTAGTTTATGTGGCCAATACACTACTCCCTACTCTGGCATATAGAAAGTCCTCAGTAAACAGCTGAATTTTGGGGCGAACTTTGTAGAGAGGACCGTCCTCTCCAGTGAGAATGTCATTGCAGCTCCTCCTGGGCTCTGTGTGCTCTTCCAAGCCTCTTGCTATCTCACCGTTTTGTGCAACGCCCCCTCCTGGCTGAAGAGAGCTCGAACTGGGCTCAGACGCAGCGATCCTCACTGCACTTATGAGTAAACTGCCTGAATTGGTGGATTTCCGAGGCCGCTCCTAGTTCCAATTGTATTTGTTTATTTTTTTCTTTCTTACCGGGGAATTGAACTCAGGCCAGAATTGAACTCAGGCCCCTTGGGATTCCGCTGAGCCATCTCCCCGCCCCCCCCACGCCGAGATTTTATGTATTCCGAGATTTTATGTATTTATTTATTTGTATTTTATTTTATTTTTCAAAATTTTATTTATTTATGTGTGTGTGTGTGTGTGTGTGTGGCCAGCTCAGCCCACCAGGGGGCGGGCTGGCTGGCATGTGGTGCTGGGGGATTGAACCGTGGTCCCGGGGCTTTGCTAAGCTTGTTCTAAGTAGGTGCTTTAGACCACTGAGCCATCTCACCAGCCCCAATTTATTTGTATTTTAGCACAGGGTCTCATTACATAGTTCGGACAGGCGTGCGCCACCGTGCGGTCTCAATCACTGCCTCAGCGCGCCCTGAGGGGGCGGGGCTGGCACGGCACCCCGGGGATTGAACACCGGCCCCTGCATCTGCCTATGCGGGCACTTTAGTCCGCCCCTGGAATTGAGATTTTAAATCATGTTTATCCATTTCTCTGCAATACATCCTTTAACCCCTGCACCACCCTAAAGCCCACAACTGGTTTAGAGACTTCATAGAAATTCTGAAGACTCTGGGGTCCCGCTGCTACTGAGACATCATAGAATGTCACAGAAGTTCAAAGATTCTTAATGCTGATCAATCATGTTTAAAAATTCACAGAGGTTTCTGGATTTGGTTGTAGCACTGCAGACTATGGGTCTGCTGTGGGTACACAGAGCAGGGAGAGTAGTTTAGGGGTCCTGCAGGACAGGTTTTCTATAAATGTTCTCCTATGCTCTTTCCATCTGGCTACATTTCCATCTGGCTAGCTGTGTACATGCAGAGATTGATATTCTTTGTAGAGTGCTAAGTGTTCAGTTAGTAGGCTTGAACATTAATCAAGAGGATTTAATGGCCATTAACTTTAAATCAGTCACCTCATAAAACTAAGTTGCCATCTTATATTTTCATGGTCAACATACTTAGCATTGTTACCCAGTTTCGGGGTGCTGGAGTCTCCTGGAGGTGGTTACTAAGTTCCTTGCCTAAGCAAAGAGTTAGTAAAGACTCAGGCTTTGCAGAATGAGTCTGGACCAAGTACACCCTACACACAGCAGGAAACCCTCATTCTAGAGAGAACACAGTGGCAAAAGCTCAATGTGGACCGACCTTTTGTATCACCCAAGCATCAGGCTGACTTCAGGTCTGGGCCATCCAATCAGAAACTGTTTTGAGTTCTCGCTAGACAGCCACTGCGGAAGGCTTTTGGGAACTCTTGTTACACCTCCTTTCCTACTCATTTTTAGCCACATATTCCCTTCCTGCCTCACTTTCCCGTGAAAGAGCCAAATCCCCATAATTCTTTAGTGCTGAGGGAGCGGAGCTGGCTGTCTTCTATCACTTCTTCGGGCTGGGAGGGGCTGCAGACCCTGCCTGTTGAGGATTATGGACTGTCCTATCTACGTTGGAGTGTTGTAGCTCACTGGCAGAACTGAAGAAAGGAACAGTTAGAAGATGAGAGAAGAATTAGTGACTGTATATTTTTTTAAAAAAAAAAGAGTGACTGTAAGCTGCCTGTTCGGTGGGAGGAAGAATCTGTACTATTATACTGGGGATGTGGAACACAAATATGAGAAGCAGGTCAAAGGAGTCGCACTTCTTGTGGAGGACAAAGCATGGCAAAGAGGGAGGTTAGATAAATATCGAGAGCCCCACAGCCATAGGCGTAGCTTGAGCACCCACATAATGGACTGAATTAAAAAGGGAAGCCTCGGGGCCAGGGAGATAGTGCAGTGGAGTAAGTGCTTGCCTGGCAAGCGCAAGGTACTGAATTTGATCCCTGGTGCTGCAAAAAAAAAAAGGAAGCCTCAATACAGGTGCCGTTTAAGCTGTGGTGAGTTAGGGTTGTTGGTGACTACCTATCTGCTCCCAAAGCAATACTGGAGTCTTGCTTTCTGACTAGGGGCCTCTGGTCTCCCAGAGATTCTCAGGAATAGCTTTCTTCTTAGTTCTTTGAAAATTCTAGTGACTGTTTCCCATGTAGGGTTTTTATAGCTTGTCATTGAATCCCTTGAGGAAGGGCAACAATGGTTCATAGGAAAGGAGAATAAAGTGAAGTTCTTGAAGGGCTGTAGGGCTGCCCTTCTGCCTCCCTGTCAGGCTTTTCATTGCCCAAGGAGACATGTCTGAAGTCTCCTGTCTCCTTGGGATCCTTGGCAATGAATTACAGTGACCTGTTTGGGAAGATGGAGTCCTAAGAGGTGTAGCATCTCCTGTTTACTTATTAGTAAGATGATTGCTTATTAGCCAATAAGCTCTTTCTTTTCAGACTGCTGTATGGACATGCAGCAATAAAAGGGCATATTCAGGCCGGCTATGGCGGAGCACACCTGTAATCCCAGCACACAGGAGGCTGAGGCAGGAGGACTGCTGTAAGTTCAAGGCCAGCCTGAGCTACATTGTGAATTCAGGCTCTGCCTGAGTTACATAGTAAGGCCCTCTCTCAACAAACAAACAAAAAATAAGGCATGTTTTGAGGCTGTAGAGATACTTAACTTTTTGAGCAGAGGTCCCTGGGGGAAGTTGACCTCCACAATCTGTTGTGATCCCACAACTGCATAACCTACTTTTTGACGTCCTTCTTGGACAAAGATATTTTCATCAGTGAACCGCAGATCTTCAGGGTGTTGTTGGGGCAGGTTACTGATCTCCTGCCTGCTTGCATAGGTCTGGGAGATGTCGGACAGGCAGGATTAGGAGTAGTAGAAGCCGGGGCCAGGGAGATGGTTCAGTGGAATAAGTGCTTCCCTGGCAAGCACAAGGGTCTGAGTTCAATCCCCGGTTCCCCCCCCCAAAAAAAA